GTTATATTTATGTTTGATACATAGAGGTTTTTCAAATATTGAAGCTACATTTAATAATGTTATCTTTATTTTTACTGCTTGTATTATCAAACTTAGAAAGTCCTTAGCACTTTTATACAATTGTTTTTTAAAGTAAAATTTTGTTAAAGAATGATCTATGTAAAGTGCACGATATGAGTGAAGTTCTAGTAATATGTATCCAAGCACTCAGTTTAAATAACAGACCATCACTAGCATACCAAAAGCACATCATGCTCTCTTCTTACCACTATTCCCACCATAATCATTTTTGAACTTTTTGAAAAATGAAATTATATAGCAATATTCTTTTGTGTTTGGCATCTTTCAATCATTTGTTTGTCAGATTCATCTCATGTTGTTGCATATAGTTCTTTATTAATGCAGGTCTTCTTTGCTGTTATGAATATTCTTGCATGTGTGTTTTGATGATGTACAGATTTCTGTTTATCAGATATTCCAGAGTGAAGTTTCTGTGTCACAGAATTTGTGTATTTTCAGTGGTAGAAGATTCGGACACTCAATTTTCAGTGTGGATTGAGCCAATTTGTCTTTTTCATTTTAGCCATGCTGGTATATATAAAATTGTTTCAAACTGTGGTTTTTCATTTTCCAGAATGCCATGAAATTGATCACTTTTCATATGTACATTGTCCATTTCAATTTATGTTTTGGGGAAACATATTTTCTACCTATTTTTTTGATTGGTTTGACTGCCATTTTCTTTTATTGTAGACTTTTAAGAGATGAGTCTTTCTCTCTCTCTCTCCCTCACACACACACATACATACATATACATGAATCTATCTACTAAATATGTGTATATATGTGTGAATCAACTAATTCTACTTATAGGATGTATCAGTAACGAAAATGACATATATACATATATGTGTGTATATATATATATGTGTGTGTGTGTGTGTGTGCATTTTTTCCTTTTATTTGTTTATGACACCAATATACACATGTGTGTGTCTGTGTTGAGTGTTGTGTGTATGTCTTTGATTAGGAAGTTCTTAATTTTAAGGAAGTTTGGTATATCACATTTTTACCTTTATAAGTATCACTTTTTGTTTTCTTTTAAAAATATTTTCTTATCTAAGCTTTCTTTGAACAACTTTATTGTTTTAATGTCACATTTCAATGTATGATTAAAATAATTTTTATACGATTATCTACTTGATCCAGAAACATTTATTGAAAATACAATTTTTTTTATTAGAACGTAGCATTTTCACTTTAATATTAATGTCTATATAGATGGAGAACTGTTTATGGATTTTGTGTTTTATTCTACTCATCTGTTTTTCTCTATTAATTTTTTATTAGATACTATTTCGCTATTTGTTTAGTCTTTGTCCTAGAATTTAAAATGCATTCTTGAATTACTAGTTCAATTATGTTACCTTTCTTCAGATACTACTAAAACATTTTAATCTTTTAATTAAATGAATTTAATTAAAATAGATTAATTTTATAAATAGATTAATTAAATCTATGCATTTTTTTTGCTTTTTTTCATTATACTTACCATGCACTTTAATTCTAAATATAAACTTAATCAGTCATTCCTGTTCTTTCTTTTTATAGTCCAAATTTATTGATATTCACCCATGTACTTTTATTTTCTCTTATACTTCATATGTCTAAGCATTGTAGTGCCTTCCTCTGTGATCGATAATTTGCCTATAGAACTTAATTTTGTATTTGTTTCAGTGGTGGCTTGTTGGTGATAAATTCCTTTGATTTTGGTATTTTCATTGATATAGTCAAATATATTTGGCAAAACACATTTGTATCTCTTCTCTGTATATTATGAAATGAAAAAAATATTAAGAAGATTGGATTTTGTAGACATTTTATCTTTTTCCTGACTTTAATGGGAACTTCCTTCTTTTATATATAACATTTACTATTCATTTGTGATTTTTAAACTTAATAAAATGACATTTTACTGTTTTCTAAAAAGTATTTTAAAATAAAAATAATTATCAGTTGCCTTTATACTATATAGTATGATGATTTTTTCTCTTCTTGGAACAATTACTAAGTTGGATGATAGAAAAACATTCCAAATTTTTAAATAAAATCAAAAAGGTTATTTCTTCTCAATGGTTTGTGACATTAGTCCAACTTTATTTGGAAACCAGTTCTTTACTAGATTTTTGTTTCACCTTCTTGTACATATCAAGACCAATAAGCTATTCAGAATTTCTCTCATTTCTTGAATTAATGTTGTTGGGTGGTTATATTTTGTCTTAAAATGTTGCATTATCTGGATGTTTTTGTTTATTACATATAAAATTTTAAACTCTGGCTTTAGAATAATAAAATTTAATTATTTGTTTCTTAATTTAAGCTAGAAAATGGGTTGTCCTAAGGAATTAAAAAGATTTATTTAAACATTCAAACTGGCAACAAATATGTAAACTTAAAGTGGAATTTGAATTATTTATTTTAAAGATTGATAAAGAGTAAGAAAATTTTAATTCACTGTTATCTAATATTGATTCAGTATTATAATCAGTAAAATATTGGCCCAATATTACTAGCTATGATCTTTATTGCATACTTTTATCACATAGAAACTACCATTTTGAACTGAAAAAAGTAGAAATTTTTTTAAATTTTATTTGCTAATAAGAATCCACTTATGGCTTGCATTTCTATAATTGTCCCTTTATTCCTAATTAACTTTACAAGTACCTTACAATTAGTCAGTTATTCTTCTGCTTCACATATAAGATCTTTCATTTTAGTTACATCTTATTAAGTCATCTTATTGCACATTTTAGGAAGTTTTGTATATTTTGCCTGAATAAAATTTTGCAGAAAACTATTAGTTTGTAGTGGAATAGACAAGGGCTTTGAAGTCAGGCATGAGCAGATTCTGCTAGTGGCTCTATCACTTGACAGCTATGTGATCTTTGACCAAAGGAGTAATTCCTGTAAAATAATATTATGTTGGATGGCTTTGAAGATTAATTGTAACCTGAAACACTTGTTTAGTGCTTACTCTGTGACAGCTACTCTTCTAAATGTTTTGTACGTGCTAACATTTATTCTCTATTGTAATTCTATGCAGTAGCCTCCCTTACCATTCTTTTTTCAGAGATGAGGCAGCTCAGACTGAGGTTTTAGGCAACTACCCAAAATTATAGAGATAGCAATTGGCAAAGCCAGAATGTAAACCCAGTCTAGCTCCAAATAAATGTATATGTAAGAGTAAAGAGTAAAGAAGAATACCGCTGTTCCTCTCCACATACACAGAAGGAATCTAGCTTGGATCTTTATACCCATTAGACAAATAATTAATTATTATCCTCCATAAGTCACCAAAGATTTCAAATATATTGAGTGCTATTTGACAAGTTGATTATTTTAGTAACTATACCACCAAATTGGTTACAATCCAGAATAAGAGAAATATTTCAAACTGATATGGCATCAAACAACATTTTTTCTCTTCTTCCTGAATATTAATTTGCTTCACCCGTCTAGTCTCTTCTGAGTTGTAATTCCTCATAGTTAGAGGAATTATTACAACACTATGACTTCTTACTAATTTATAATAGGTAGTTTGCTAATAGTATAGTCACCTGATATACATGTGTCAAAATATCTTTGATGAGGTATGAATTGCTAGATATATAACAGGCTTATTCAAGAAAGTTTAATTTATGAATGACTGTGCTGGGAGTACATGGTGTGAAATTTGAAAGGAAGAAAAATAAATGTTCTGCATTTTTAAAGTACTAGTTTCCTAAGGACAGAGGTTGGAGGGGTTTAGGGATCAGGTGCTCTACCTTTTATTTCATTCTCCAAACCAATTATGATTCTTTTGGAGGCAAAGGTCTCAGCTAGGTCACTCCCAACTAATGAGACAGTAATGATTGAAGAGAGAAGGAAGGCTGTGACAAGAGTGAGGGAACTGGAATGAGACAGAGCTGGTAGAAGGTCACAAATTGAAGGGACATATTTAAAAAATATACTCCTACATTTTATGGCCAAAATTATATACTACAGTTTTATTCATTGATTAAAAGAGTTGGTTTGTTTTGGAGAGCCATCCTTCATAAGTGTCAAGTGTCTTCTTAAAAGGGACTTAGAATAAAACAACTAGCAAAATGCTCTCTCTTCTCCCAAGCAAGACACTGAAATTTGCAAATAATTTGGGCTTTTAACACAATAAGTGCCATAAAAATTGTGCCACCGGCATGGCGGCTCACTCCTGCAATCCTAACAGCCTGAGAGGCCAAGGCAGGCAGATCACTTGAGCCCAGAAGTTTGGGACTAGCCTAGCCTAGTGAACTGCCTGACTCTACAAAAAATACAAAGATTAGCTGGGCATGATGCTACATGCCTGTAGTCTCAACAATTTGGGAATCTGAGGTGAGAGGATCACCTGAGCCCGAGGAGGTCAAGGCTACAGTGGGCTGTGATAACGCCTCTGCACTCCAGCCTAGGCAACTGAGTGGCTCTGTCTCAAAAAGGAAAAAAAGAAAAAAAAATACGCAAAAGAATTTTGATTTCTGAATAGAGACAACATTTAATATAATATTTTCAGTGCTTAATTTTATAGTGTATGTCAATGCAGAGGATTAATTATTCTGGAACTGTTTACGAATTTTAGGGGGATAATTTTCAGTACTTAAGGAAAGACCTCTATATACCTAGGCCCAAAAATAAGTAATAACTAAAGAAAAAGTCAAAATTATATTTGTATCATGTTAAATCTTGGCAGCAATACTAAGGCAATTTTACCAGTATAGCTGTGTCTACAAGAGAATATCCCAAAGTTCATAAAGCAAGCACAAACCCCATGTACTTAAATCTCTCTCTCTCTCTTACTCTCTCTCTCTGTCACTCACACACACACACAAATACACATATACATATATAAAAGTAAAGAAAACTTCTGATATTTTCTTTATCCTGTAAAAATTATGTGATTATTCTTTTTCTTTTTGCCAGGTGGTATTTTTGAATATGTGGAATCTGGCCCAATGGGAGCTGAGGAACTTGCATTCAGATTTGCCGTGAACACAATTAACAGAAACAGAACGTTACTACCCAATACTACCCTTACTTATGACACCCAGAAGATAAATCTTTATGATAGTTTCGAAGCATCCAAGAAAGGTAATTGATAGATTTTTAACATCTTTTTTTTTTTTGTATTTAAATTTTGGGATATTCTTAAGATATTTCCTATTTTCAACACATAGTTAGTAAGTTGTTAGGAATATTTGCATGCAAAGATTTATTTTCCAAGTGCATATAAATTTAATCAGAGAAGATAAAGTGGTGTAATTACCTATTGCAAAAAATCTGCTTATAACATGAAATACAATTACATCTGTGATAGTGAAACTGTTTTTTTTCTATTGATCCTTCTCTCTTGTTATTAAAGCATTCCTGTTTTCAAGAACCTACAAAACTAAAATAAGTATCAGTGGATTTTACCAAGTCTTGCAATTCATTCTTACGCCTTTATTTGTATTATCTGTCAATCCCACTATATTATTACAGTGGTCTCAATTTATTGGCTACCTTGAAAGATACGTGGTTCTAAGTTACTTCAAAATGCCAGTGTGATATTGAAACTTAATTGGAAAATTTTAAACAACCATTAGTTTATGTATATTTCATGTTCATATTTTAACCAACTAATATTTCTTTTTGTAACTGAAAATAAATAGCTGACAGTGTAAAAACTGGATTATATAAGGAAATAATTAGAATACATTATGAATTTTATTTCTGTGTTTTAACTGTTTTGAATGTCAAAAATACAGAAAAAAATGTTTTAAAAAGAAAAATAATTTTGTGGAATAAAAATTTAACATTCATATATGAAGGAAGGCAATACAGAAAACTTATTACAGCCTTTATTTTAACCCAACAGCATTCAGTAGTAAATGTGTTTGAGAGTTGTTTCTATAGTCTTATGTTGGTGATCTTTTCTTATATATGTAGATGATCTTAAAGTAGGTGATCTTTCCTTTTGCATAGTTAGCATTTACATAGCAGGAATTAAATTTTATAATAAAGATTTTTCTCAAAAGAGAAGGCTTACAAAATGTTTAATATAACATTATATTTTTAAACAATGTTTGCCTTTCTGTAATGCTAACATGGTTTTACTCTAGCTACCTTATATTGATGGAAATGTATATACAATTATTTCTAATTCCAGTTTAGTGCAGTTTTTTTTCCTAAGCTCGTTAATATTAATGGTAGCTGACAAGGCACAATATTTTTCAAGATGAAAGTATCCTTCTTTCCCCGCAGCAGCTAACTAGTGTTTATCAAAGCCATATTCTGCATGCCTTTTAAATTAATTCATATCTTTATGAATACAAATAAGTTTCCACATTTCAGAAACATGTCAGGTGATATAAGGTTTTGAAGATTGAGAAAAAGGTTAAAGGTAACTGTGAAATATTACATTTGTCATCATAATTGCAAAATGAATCATTAACTCAAGACTATTACATTTGATTAGTGGCATAGCTCATGATTGTTTCCATTAGTAAGAAGAAGCTTTGCCTCTAATAAAAGCATTTGATCAAAGAATATGGTATATAAATGCAGTATAGATAAAATATTTTTAGATTTCTTAATGGTGATTTCAAATGATCAGCATGAAAAAAACACAGGTTCAAATGTTCTAACAACAAACAGAGTACTATCCTGGGAATGCCCTAGCAAAATTATAAAGTGATAAAGTCATGCAGTTTGACCAAAATATGATAAGGAATTTACAAGCTTTGTTAACCAATAAAAACTTATGGGAATCAAGTCCATCACTTCACTTTGGCTTGAAGCTAGGAAAAGCTCAAATAACTGTATGAGTAACTTTCTTTGTGAATGTCATGGTTTGGATTTCATCTTCTGAAGCTCTTGTTTGTTGAGTTATTATTGCTTGGAGGATAGAGCAATACATAAAAACAACATAACAGAGAGAGCCAATATGGGTTTTTAGCTTTATCAAAAATGTATATATTGATAATATTGTTAATGATTAGTTATAAAATAAATAAGTTAGACATTAAAACATTTTAATTATCCAATGCCAAAAAATAAGAAATGAAAGGTTACATTTTAACATTTTATCCAATGTTTTTCTGTTATATTTTTAATAGGTAATAATGTTCTGCTCAATTAATACTTTGATGTATTAGAGCTTGAATATTATTTGAATCATATATTATTTTTTATTTATTTATTTTTTTTTTTTGAGACGGAGTTTCTCTCTTGTTACCCAGGCTGGAGTGCAATGGCGTGATCTTGGCTCACCGCAACCTCCGCCTCCTAGGTTCAGGCAATTCTCCTGCCTCAGCCTCCTGAGTAGCTGGGATTACAGGCACGTGCCACTATGCCCAGCTAATTTTTTGTATTTTTAGTAGAGATGGGGTTTCACCATGTTGACCAGGATGGTCTCGATCTTTTGACCTCGAGATCCACACGCCTCAGCCTCCCAAAGTACTGGGATTACAGGCTTGAGCCACCGCGCCCAGCCTGAATCATATATTATTTTTAAGTAACTGTTCTGATAACTGAAAGCTCTAATCTTGCTTGAAACACACTTAGAGACATTCTAAATAACCTAAAACAGTGTTTTTAGCTTTTCTTGGTTTGTGATTTGTCATAAATCTGGTGAAAGAAGATCATTCATCTTCAATATACAAGAATTAAAATCTCACGTTGAGTGAAAAATTCTAAAGTCTATCCGCATTTATGCTAATTTAGAATTCCAATTATTATTTAAAAAGAATCCATGTACTTAAAAACAGTTTATTTAGATTATATTGAATTTTTAACAATGATTAAACAAATTTTTTCAGACAATAATTTAATTATTAAATATTATCATGCTTAATTCACCTATATTATATTTTATGCAGAAAACAGAGAAAATGACCAAAATTTTCTGAACACCAAATTTATACCTAAAGCTCAAGAACAATCCTTCTCTGTCCTTTAAATATTTGCAGTGATGGGCAAACCATTGCCTCTTGAGGAAGACTGTTTCATTTTTTAGCATGTTTTACTTTAGTTTTTTTTTTTTTTTATACAGAGGTTTGGTCTGTCACCCAGGCAAAACAGCAGTGGCACCATCATGGCTCACTGCAACCTCAATGTCCCAGGCCCAAGTGACCCTCTTACCTCAGCCTCCCTAGAAGCTAGGACTACGGGCATATGGCACCACGCCCAGCTCATTGTGTGTGTGTGTGTGTGTGTGTGTGTGTGTGTGTGTGTGTGTGTTTTAGTTTTATCAGAGAGGAGGTGTCACTATATTATCCAGGCAGGTCTCGAATTCCTGTTCTCAAGCGATCTTTCTGCATTGGCCTTCCAAAGTGCTGGGATTACAGGTGTGAGCCATGGCATCTGGCCATTTTTAGAATTAAAAATAGTAGTAATAGTTCAGGCATGGTGGCTTACGTCTGTAATAGCAGCACTTTGGGAGACTGAGGTGGGCAGATCACAAGGTGAGGAAATTGAGACCTTCCTGACCAATGTGGTGAAACCCTGTCTCTACTAAAAATACAAAAACAGTCAGGCATGGTGGCAGGAGCCTATAGTCCCAGCTACTAGGGAGCCTGAGGCAGGAGAATTACTTGAACCCGGGAGGGAGAGGTTGTAGTTAGCCAAGATTATGCCACTGTACTCCAGCCTGGGTGACAGAGTGAGATTCTCTCTCAAAATTATGATAATAATAATAAACTGGGTAAAAAATCATGAGAAGCTTCTATTTTTTTCTAATTTCCCTTTGTCCATCAAGTGAAACTAACTTAAGCTTCTTTCACATGTTAGGTCTTCAAATATCTAACGATATTTTTTTTGTTCCCACTAATTATTCGCTTTCTAGGCCCAAGCTCGCTCTTTGTGTTGGTGTGCCTTATAGAAAGTTCAGTCACGGCAGTCTATTTTAATCTGAATACCTCTAGTTTATTCATGCCTTTCTTAATTACTGTGGTTATTATTGATATGAATAAAATTTTCTGTGAGTAAATACAAACTTTAAAAAGTTTAGAATAATAGGAAACACTTACAGCATCCAAAAGCCAAATATATCAAGATGACTGAGTACTTGTCTAATGATTTTGATGTTTTCCTACTCAGTGAGACTGATCCATATGAAATCACCCTCTAAGAGCCATAGCAGGTTTCATGTGGCTGAGTGCATGCATAGCCTGACCTGTATCATCAGACATGTGGAAATACTCAGCTGTGTGTGACCACAGCTAATTGCACGATAAAGGGGGAAACACATGGCTTTTGATTAAGAAATGGAAAATGTAAAAGCTGTTTGATGAATTTCAGAAGCTGAGTTATTCCCTCATCCCCTTCACATAAACTTGTCTTCCAAAACAGGCACTGCCCCATTAAATTAAAAAAATATTAATCTTCTCTCTCCTTCCCTCTCTCCCTCCCCTGACTATTTATAGAATTATTTGAACATTGAGCTGCAGGCATCTGAGTGAATTAATTCCCTTGTAACAAAAGGAAAATGTTCAGTCAGACAAAATTTTAAATTAGTGAAAAGCAGATATATTTAAAAATAATCTTTCTTCAGGCTGATACCTTTGGGTTTAAAATAATAATGTGGTATCTGCTGGCACACTGGCATCTCTCCTCTCATTATTGACAGACCTTTATCTCCTCTTCAGCCTGTGATCAGCTGTCTCTTGGGGTGGCTGCCATCTTCGGGCCTTCACACAGCTCATCAGCAAATGCAGTGCAGTCCATCTGCAATGCTCTGGGAGTTCCCCACATACAGACCCGCTGGAAGCACCAGGTGTCAGACAACAAAGATTCCTTCTATGTCAGTCTCTACCCAGACTTCTCTTCACTCAGCCGTGCCATTTTAGACCTGGTGCAGTTTTTCAAGTGGAAAACCGTTACGGTTGTATATGATGACAGCACTGGTAAGAAAAATTAGTAGCCTTTGGAGCTATGCTTTAAATATAGATGATTTTCTGAAGCCCATTCCAGGTTCTTATTGTATTCTTAACAGGTTTTTTTTTTCTATGTTTGTGTGGTTGTTGTTTTTAAATTAAATCAAGGGTGGAAAGACAGAATCAAACACCAACTCTAATTTCACATATCTGAACAAAGTATACCTATATTGCATACTTTTTATCTGTATTTGAAAAATAAGCATTTTTTTAAATTCCTGTGAAAGATCAGCTAGTTTGGTAGGTTGGATGAAGGATAGAGATAGTATGCAATTTTATATGTAAATATATATATATATATATATATATATATATGTGTGTGTGTGTGTGTGTGTGTATTAGAATTTCAATCATTATTTAAAAAGTAAGAATGCATGTATTCAAAAACAATATGCTCTAACAATTTAGATCATATTGAATCTCATATATATATAGATAGATAGAAAACCTGTAATCCCAGCACTTAGGGAGGCCAAGGCAGGTGGATCATTTAAGATCAGGAGTTAGAGACCAGCCTGGCCAACATGGTGAAACCCTGTCTCCACCAAAAATAGAAAACTTAGCCAGAAGTGGTGGCGAATGCCTGCAATCCCAGCTACTTGGGAAGCTAAGGCAGGAGAATCACTTTAACCTGGGAGGCAGAGGTTGCAGTGAGCCAAGATCATGCTATTGCATGTCAGCCTGGGTGACAGAGTGAGACTCTGTCTCAAAATAAATAAATAAATAAATAAAAAATAAAAATGAAATTTTAATTTTAATTTCATTGGAAGCTATATTGGTGAAGCAGCTGCATACTATTTTGCTTACTATAGTGTGATAATTAATTTTACTTTAAGATGTTTATCAAAAATATAAACAGTGCTCTTATAATTAGAACAAAATAACATTTTATATCAGGACACTTCACTATACTTTCATAATTACATTGAGATTTAATTTCATTTGTATTTAAATTCTCTCAAAGTATTCCAGGAGCACATTTTGTTCATGCATGTAGTATATAGAACTCTGAAGAAATTTGACCATTTGCCAATAAAATTGATCATCTGCAAATTGATAAATAAGAACTCTTTCAGGGAACAAGAAACTGGGAACTATAGGATTAAAAAAAGTGCAAATAATTTCAAAAGCATTTTTGTTTAGATAAGAAAGGATGAAATGCATCTAGATAGAAATTAGAGTTATTTTGTTTTCTTATTTTAAAATGTGAAATATTTATAATTGATTAAAATTAGAAACACATCGAGTCCTTAAAAATAAGTATGTTTGATTTGTCTTTTAGCTCAGATTAAACCTATTAAATTTATTATAGTTTTCTTTCTAAATAATTACTGCTTTGTCACTGGTAACATTCTGTGTGCCAAATTTGTAATGCCAGTTTCTACAGGAACGATTTCTCTGGGTATGTATAATAAAATGGTCCAGGGCATTCTCAGTTGCAAATTGGTCCACTTATGTTTATGGATGGTCATCTACAAAAATATATGAGTATAGATACATGTGCATTGTGAATCTGTGGACTGTTTTTTCTCCAGTCCTTCCTGATGTGATTCAGGTACATGAGGCCCAAACATTGTATATTCTTATAATGTATACATTATATACCTGTATGTATGCACACAGATATGTACATCAAACATGTGATATTTTGTATTTATTCATTATTATCCTTGAACTCCTCATGGGAGGAAAAAAGTTGACAAGTGTTCAAAATGTCTATAGACATATGACCTTTCTTCACTATCCTGTGTGTGTATGTGTGTGTGTGTGTGTGTGTGTGTGCACGCGCGCACATGCACATGTGTGGCATTTTAATTTAATACATGTGATTCTTAAGTGATTGGCCAAATAGTAACGGGATTTGAACCAGGTCCTATAATAATTTGGTAAAAGACAGCCTTATGTAATTGATCTATCCTTGCTTTAAATTATATTCTAAATTATATCATTGAGGCAAATATAAATAGGGAAATATGTATAGCTAGTTGATTATATACATTTAACAGAGTCCTGACCTCAAATTAAATTTATTAAAATGCTTACTATTTAGTTACTAGTTACTGTTTAAAGGAAACTTTGCTATTCCTTTGGCTTTGAAGGTGACATAGATACTTGGAAATTTGAAAGATCTGATTATTTAAGTAGTAATGCTAACTTAGAGTTGTTACAGAATTATTCATAGAATAAGTATGTATTGAAAGCCTCTGAAGAATAAAACTTATTACTGTTATATTTTATGCAACATTTAATTCAATGAATTTTGATTGATCACCTGATACATGCCAGGGAGATTTATATGCCACTAAAGGAATTATATGCCACTAATGGAAACAAAGGCCCAGCCCTTGTTGAGCTTCTAATCCCTATTGAGGGACATGTAATTATTCATATCTTTAATATTATTGAATGGGATAATTACACTTGTAACTGACCAATTGTTGCCTCTTACTTTACAGCATTTTTGAGAACCTGAGTAGTTTTTCATTATTTAATATCGTAGAACTGACTCTAAGATAGGCAGAAGAGTCCCTTTGAGATGTATTTATGAATATGTAGTAGACTTTTTGTCTTTCTGTTTATGTTTAAAAGTCTCAAGGTAGAATTTTTTTCAACTTTTATTTTAAAATCAGGGAGTACATGTGCAGGTTTGTCACAAGGGTGTGTTTTACATGATGCTGAGGAGTGGGGTACAGCTGAACTCATCACCCAATCAGCATGGTACCCAATAGGTAGTTCTGCAACCCTTCTCCTCCTCTCTCCCTCCCACTCTCATAGTCTCCAGTGTCTATTTTTCCCAAATTTATGTACAGATTTGCCAAATGTTCAGATCCCACTTATAAGTAAGAAAATGCAGTCTTTGGTTTTCTGTTCCTGTGAAATTCACTTAGAATAATGGTCTCCAGCTGCATCTGTGTTGCTGCAAAGAACAATTTTTTTTTTATTTTTGTGGCTGCATAGTGTTCCATGGTATATGTGTACCACATTTTCTTTATCCAATCGACCACTGATGGGCATCCTGGTTAATTCCATGTCTTTACTATTGTGAATAGTGCTGCAATGAACATATGCGTGCATGTGTCTTTTTAACAGAATCATCTATTTTCCTTTGTGTATATACCCAGTAATGGTATTGCTGTGTCAAATGGTAGTTCTATTTTTCATTCTTTGAAAAATCTCCCAACTGCTTTCTACTATGGCTGAACTAATTTACATTCCCATCAAACTGTACAAGCATTCCTTTTTCTCTGCAAACTTGCCAACATTTAATTTTTGACTTCTTAATAATAACCATTCAGACCATTGTGAAATGATATCTCACTGAGGTTTTGATTTGCATTTATCTGATGATTAGTGCTGTTGAATATTTTTTCATATTTTTTGGTTGCATGTACATCTTCCTTTGAGAAGTATCTGTTTATATCCTTTGCTCACTTTTTAATGGTCTTATTTATATTTTGCTCATTGATTTATTTCAGTTTCTTACGGGTTCTGGATATTATACGTTTGTTTGATGCATAGTTTGTGAATATTTGCAAGGTATAGTTTTAATGATAGAATTCAGCAAAGAGAATTTGTAAACTTCTCAAGAGAGCAAGATGAATATTTGATGATGTGATAGGAAATCTGATTATAGCTAGGACTGTGAACCAAAATGGAAAAAACTTCACCTCATATACAATAAGATAAACATCACAGTCTTTATAATGGACTTATATATCTGCAGTTTACTGAAGGGGACACATGTGCCATTTTGTTTACATGTTTCCTTTTTTCCTTTCCATATTTATTTATTATGTGTGCTATTCCTCCCATTTATATTCATTTCTATTTTGTTGTATTGTCCATGATAATTATTCTTCAATCCAGTCTTTGTTCCCACCCCCAAAACAGATGGGATGATAAATGAAATATAGTGCTGGAGTAGGAGAAATTCTTAAAATGATGTTAACAGGAGCTATTTATTTTTTATGATAATTAGCATTTGTTGTTGTCATGGATGAATGCTTTTAAACACCCTGAAAGTCTGTTATAGCTCTGAATGATGTCCAAAAATGATGGAAAAGAATTGGCTTCAGAAACAAAGCTGTGTTTCTGTCAGTCATTTTGGAACATATGATTCATTTTAAATATAAACTAAAAATAAGTTGGATAGCTGACAGCTTGTAAGCAATTCCAGGATAAGTTGTGCATATTTGCTTTAAAATCCCTGTGTTTCATCTTTGTTTATAGATTAGCAGTCCATTAACAAAAAAACTCTGGACTGGTAAACAGAAGCCTGAGATTTTAGTCCCAGTTTTGCTACTAAATTACCAGTACAACCTCAGAAAAGACAAGAAGGGAGTGGAAATGACTGCAGAAATGAGCTATAATGCACCACGAACTGACATTGTGGTAGCTGCTGTCACATAAACTATTTCACTTAATCTTCACAATTATACGAGTCCAAAGGAAACAGGTTATCACAACATCATGACTGTTACCTCCAGTGACTGGCTCCCCTGCCCACCAAGCCTAAGCCAGAAACATGAATGTCTTCCTTGATTCTTTTCTTTTTTCAACTCCACAATCAGTTGTCAATTCTATACTTCTATGATCTCTAAAATATTTTATTTCTTCCTACACCCTACCACTTCTTAGGTTGAAATCACCTTCCTTTGTCATCCGGATTATTACTAACAGCCTTCTAACTGGTCTCCAGTTTTGTAGTCTCTCCACTGCAATTAGTGTAATTTTTTAAAAATACAATTCTGATACATTCCCCTCTTAATAGCTTCTCATTCCTCTAAGGCATTTTTGAGAAGACTTATGATGTTTGATGTGAACTAGTCCCTGTACTTCTCCAATGGTATTTGAGTCTAAATCCCTCACTAATTTATTTCAAGTTGAGCCATTAGACACCTTTTAGTTGTAGAAAATAATACTCTTTTCACCCTGAAAGCCCTCATTCTGATCATTCTGATCCTGTTCCT